GGTTATATCAAGGTTTTGTCTGCACTTCCAGGAGGATCCCAAGACAACAATCTCATGATTACAGAGACAAAACTTATTCTAACTGGTCTAGTTAATAAAAATTACATATTTGCTACGAAATCTTGTTCTTCACTTGCTACAAAAAACCCACACAAAACACTCCTACCCACAGTACATGACATTAACTTTGATCTCCACAGTATTCTGTACTTTGCCTGACCTTTCCTTCCCTCCTCACAGGTGAACTGGGGAAAAAAAAAAGGGGAGAGGTGGAGCAATTGGCCAATCATACCAAGGCACAGATCAAGAGCATGGGGAACACTGATATTCTTCACAGTCATTAAAATTCCTATATCCTGTTCTTATATGAAAAAAAAAAAAAAGAACAGACAAAGGCACAACAGGAATCTATTCTCTTGACAGAGACCTAATAATAAAAGAAACTGTTCTGAACCATTCTCATTACTGCTTGGAAACTTTAATCTTGTGGTCTTAGTTCCTGCTCATGAAAACCTTCAGATCTCTTTATAAGCTACAGAAAGTGAAGGGAATGTTTGTAGTTGGATTATGCAGTTAAACATTTTGGAGAGTTGGAGCCACGTTGGAATAGCGTTGTGATGTCCAGAGGAAGGGTTTTACAAGCAAGGCAAGGCCCTGTCTCAACATAAGGAGAGTCACTGAGTTGATCCCAGGGCTGGAGCCCCTCTGCTCTGGAGCCAGGCTGGGACAGATGGGGGGATTCACCTGGAGAAGAGAAGGATCCAGGGAGACCTGAGAGCCCCTTCCAGAGCCTAAAGTTGATCCAGGAGAGCTGGAGAGGGACTTTGGACAAGGGATGGAGGGACAGCACAAGGGGAAATGGCTTCACACTGAAACAGGGCAGGGTTAGATGGGATCTTGGGAAGGAATTGTTGGCTGGGAGGGGGGGAGGCCCTGGCATAGGTTGCCCAGAGAAGCTGTGGCTGCCCCTGGATCCTTTGAAGTGTCCAAGATCAGGATGGACAGGGCTTGGAGCAATCTGGGAGAGTGGAAGGTGTCTCCAGGACTGGGGTTGGAATAAGATGATCCTAAGTTCCCTTCCCACCCAAACCATTCCATGATTCCATGATTCCATGATTCCATGATTCCATGATTCCATGATTCTATGAACACGCTGATGATTTGCCATAGGACATTCATCTGTATTTTGTAGGGAAGGGGAAATCTCAGAACACAAGAACTATCATCCCATATTCACTTGTTCTATATTTCTATTAATAACTTGTGAAAAATGCCAGTCAGACTTTCAGTTGTCACCTTTAATGACCATATTTTTAATGCATAAATATATAAAATAAGCTCCACATCACAAAGCCAAACCCTCCACAGGCCTTTCCATTCTTAAACCACCCTGTGCCTACCATCAGCCTGCTCTGGGGTCAGCTGGTTGTCCTGCCCTCTCCTTCCAGTCTAAAGATGAAGCAGAGATGGAATTAACTTGGTAAATCACCAAAGGCAGAGGAGGTAACAGAGCAAGAAATTAATTTTGCCTTTCTCCACTCCTTTCCATCAGCTACTTCCAATTCTTCTGGATGACCTTTGAAAGCCAAGACCTGGAAATCTTGCAGAGAAGAATCAGTCAAAAGACTAATTGATATGCAAGAGGCAACACTGTCCCTCAGAAAAACGTGGGTTTGCTGCTTAGGAAATGTGAAACAACCTCACAATCAACTATTTTATGTAACTCAAAGCAGAAAACCAACTCCACGTGGAATACTTTTATATTGAATTGTTAATTTTTAAGATTTGTGATTTGTGTACGAGAGAAAAAGCTTCAGAAAGGTAGTGAGAGTTGTCTGGGTTATAAATTGGTTTAATCTGCTGTTATGTTCACTAAGCCTTCTAACTAATATCCTATAATAAACAGACATATTCATATTTTTTCTTAAATTACAGTCACCGAGGATAAACAAAGAAAACAACTCAAAGCAAAGCAAAATGACCTGCTTAGATGTTGAACCACAAGCCTATAAACTGCCCTGTTTTTAAGAAAATCATCGTTAGCAGCACATTTTATATGGTAATTGTACATCACCACTTTCTGAATAACAGCAGCAGAGTTTCTCCCTTCTGATTTCAGAGCCACTTGAGCTATGCAGATTTCTAAAAGCTTATGAATATACAGATAAACAGAATTGTTCTGAACATCTGTAAGCAAAATATGAAAAGATGTTTCGTGCTGAATGAACATCCTGGGCTGCCTAATGCTGGCCAAAAATTGGTGTATTTATGGATTAGGCAAAAGCCCTGAAAATAGCTCTGCACCCACTCCAGAAAGCCTTTTCAGATTGTCCTCTGTATGGCTGTCACCACAAAATGGAAAAAGAATTTTCCATTCCGGTCTATTCACTTTCCAATCCTGTTCCAAACCTTCCCTTCCCTTCCCTTCCCTTCCCTTCCCAAACCTTCCCTTCCCAAACCTTCCCTTTCCTTCCTATTCCATTCCATTCCATTCCATTCCATTCCATTCCATTCCATTCCATTCCATTCCATTCCATTTCTATTTCTATTCTATTCTATTCCTATTCCATTCCATTC